TAGGATATAATGCAGATTTTCCATAAGGTGACCACAATTTGAGCAGCTAGAGGAGCTCGATAAGCCCCAAGAAGCTCTTAGGGAGTTGGTGGGTAATCTATCTCTCCAAGCAAGCCAAATAAAATACTTCCACTTTGGAATAATTGGCAAACATCAAATCCAAGAGAAATTAGTCGAAAAAACATCTGAATCCTCGATTGTGAGGGAGAGATAAGTTTAATGAGTGGTGAATTTTCCATTAGACGTATGCTGCCAAACATAAGTATCAATCATCTTCGAGAACCTAGGCAACGGATAGCCCATTATTTTATTCGCCACTTCTATAGGGAGCAACACAGATTTTGTTGACATCCCAGTGAAGATCGCTCGTACTGAACTCACTCACTTTAATGTGGTCATCAACAAGATGAGTGGCCACGTTTGGGTTTTGATAAATTGGTTTTCCCAACTAATTATCCTTCCAAAAGAGCGTTTCCTTCCCATCACCTATTTTGCGTATCTTCAGACTAGAGAGAAAGCTCCTCCAATTATGGGACCAACTAGAGGTTCTACGTGAGCAGTCAGTAGCATAGATGAGTGGATCTCCATGGACACCATATGAGGCCTTAAGGGCTCTAACCTATATGCTGTCCGGTTGGTGAATGAAGCGTCAGGCCGTCTTCTTAAGTATGGACTCTTTTATACTCTTATCAATATTTTATCATCCAAATAAAAAAAAATATTGTGAGTTTATTTTATAATTTTAAATTATATTTGATATATTATGATGTCAGAGTTGGCAAAAATAATGAATAAGATAATTTAAAATAAGAAACAGAAAACAACTCAATTACAACTTTTTGACTCAATTGAGTAATGACACGTTTGACGTTTGGCAGATTAGTCTTGAAGGGAATATTAGGAGAGCTGATCTGTTTTTGGTCAAACCTCAAATGTTGTCGGGTTCCTTCTTTTTCGGTGGAGTAGAGGGACCAAACCCTCACGGAAGTTCTGCAGTGCGACGTTTAAAAAAAGTTAAAAAATAGTGTGATCGGTTAAAATTTAGATCGATTATGTTATATCATTTAACCGGAAACATTATCAAGCACATTAACATATTAAGTACCGTTTATATAATATAATAGGTATCACTTATATAATAAAAAAGTTAATTACTGGAAACATTATCAAACACAATAACATATTAGGTAAAACTTATATAATGTAATAGGTAGCGCTTATATAATAAAATAGGTTAATTATTAGAAATATTATCAAGCACAATAACATATTAGGTAGCGTTTATATAACGTAATAGGTAGTGCTTATATAATAAAATATGTTAATTATTTAATTTGTTATTACAATATATTATGTAAACTCTTAAAATATTACCAATGATAATATAACCGATTATTTACTGGAAACATTATCAAGTATAATAATGTAAACGGTAAAAAAAATAGGCGATAGTTATTACATTAAACTACTTACCAGATATGTTGAAAGTATCGATTCCATTTAAATAAGTATCGACACTTTTGGAATTACCAATGATAACATAACCGGTTATTTACTGGAAACATTATCAAGTATAATAATGTAAATGGTAAAAAAATAGGCGCTACCTATTACATTAAACTACCTACCGAATATGTTGAAAGTGTCGATTCCATTTAAATAAGTATCGACATTTTTGGAATTTAAAAGAAAAGTAGTAATAGCGCCTATAAAGTATCGATAGTTTACAATATAACAAGTAAAAATATGACAAAACCAGTTTCATTATGACAAAGCCGATAAAATTTATCGGATATGTTGAAGTGCTTGATAATGTTTCCAGTAATTAACCTATTTTATTATATAAGCGCTACCTATTACATTATATAAGCGGTACCTAATATGTTATTGTGCTTGATAATGTTTCCAGTAATTAACCTATTTTATTATATAAGCGTTACATATTACATTATATAAGCGCTACCTATTACATTATATAAGCGCTACCTATTACATCATAGTTTTACCTATTATATTGTAAAGTATCGATCCTTTTTATAAAAAGGATCGATACTTTACAATATAACAGTTAAAAATATGACAAAACCAGTTTCATTATGATAAAACCGGTAAATTTTACCTGATATGTTGAAAGTATATATATTTTTTATAAAAATGTATCGATACTTTGTTGAAAGTTATGTAATTTATGTTTCAAAATTTTTTAATAGTGTTTCATGTTTTCCACCAACAATATTAATTTAATAATTTCATTTATACAAAAAATTATTTGATTGTTTTGATATTTTATAAAATATTATTTAGAATTTAAATTTAACAATTTTAACCAAAGATAATAATAAATATGTAATATCTATGTTTATTATTTTTAATTTAATAATAATATATATCGTAACATAAAAATAAACCATTAGACGTGTATAATTATTAAATTAATATCTTAAAACTCACTAAAAAAATAACATAACCGATTATTTTTAATAGTGTTTCATGTTTTCCACCTACAATATTAATTTAATAATTTCATTTACACAAAAAATTATTTGATTATTTTGATATTTTATAAAATATTATTTAAAATTTAAATTTAACAATTTTAACCAAATATAATAATAAATATGTAATATCTATGTTTATTATTTTTAATTTAATAATAATATATATCGTAACATAAAAATAAACCATTAGACGTGTATAATTACTAAATTAATATCTTAAAACTCACTAAAAAAGATAACATAACCGGTTATTTACTGGAAACATTATCAAGTATAATAATGTAAACGGTAAAAAAAATAGGCACTACTTATTACATTAAACTACCTACCGGATATGTTGAAAGTGTCGATTCCATTTAAATAAGTATCGACACTTTTGGAATTTAAAAGTAAAGCAGTAATAGCGCCTATAAAGTATCAATACTTTATAAAAATATATTGATATTTTATAATATAACAAGTAAAAATATAACAAAACCAGTTTCATTATGACAAAGCCAATAAAATTTATCGGATATGTTGAAGTGCTTGATAATGTTTCCAGTAATTAACCTATTTTATTATATAAGCGCTACCTATTACATTATATAAGCGCTACCTATTACAGTATATAAGCGGTACCTAATATGTTATTGTGTTTGATAATGTTTCCAGTAATTAACCTATTTTATTATATAAGCACTACCTATTACATTATATAAGCGCTACCTATTACATCATAGTTTTACTTGTTATATTGTAATGTATCGATCCTTTTTAAAAAGGATCGATATTTTACAATATAACAGGTAAAAATATGACAAAACCAATTTCATTATGATAAAACCGGTAAATTTTACCTGATATGTTGAAAGTATATATACTTTTTATAAAAATGTATAGATACTTTTTATAAAAATGTATCGATACTTTGTTGAAAGTTATGTAATTTATGTTTCAAAATTTTTTAATAGTGTTTCATGTTTTCTACCTACAATATTAATTTAATAATTTCATTTACACAAAAAATTATTTGATTGTTTTGATATTTTATAAAATATTATTTAGAATTTAAATTTAACAATTTTAACCAAAGATAATAATAAATATGTAATATCTATGTTTATTATTTTTAATTTAATAATAATATATATCGTAACATAAAAATAAACCATTAGACGTGTATAATTACTAAATTAATATCTTAAAACTCACTAAAAAATAACCTTAAATTAATGTTTTCCACAATGGAATAAGTATGAACACTTATATATATGTATCGATACTTACCGATAACCAAAGTTAACCAGTTATCAAATTTTTTAATAGTTTTTCATGTTTTCTACCTAAAACATTATTAGTTTGTCAACATAATAAGTAGCGCTAAACCGAATTTATTAAATATTTTTTAATATATCCGGTAATATCGTATATTAGTCGCTTTTACTGAGATAATCCCAAACCCTCAACCTATAAGTAAGAACAAGTTATCAAGCAATAAGAGTACTTTATCTCATGCGTTTGGTTCGTGGGTACAAATCATTTTTTTCTCTTTCTATACTTTCTGTTTTAGTATTTATTTAGAAATAATTCATACTTTTCATCGTCGTGTTTACGTCTAATAAAATATTTTTTTATTAATTTAAAATGATTATAAGTGATAATATATTTTAAAAAATATTTAATAATTAACACTTAAATACTCGATGTTAAAGTTTGAAATGTCTAAGAATGATCTTCATCTCTTTAATCAGATCATGGTTTGATTCTTGTAAAATTATTCTTTTGAAATGATATATTTATTGGATAATAAAATATATATTTTATAAGTTTTAGGGTGAGACCGAGAAATGAAAGAAGTAGGATAGGTGGGAAACTGAGGTGGAGAAGGGTTAATAGTCAATGTCAGCAGGCCGGAGTAGGCGAGTGACAAAGGAAGCCTTTGCCTTTTCCACGCTTATATATTGTTTCAAACATTTGCCAATTCCTCATCCATCTTACCATTTTCTTCTTCTTCATCATCCTTTGCATTTGCTTTCATTTTCAGGTTTGTTTTTCCGGTTCCCTTGAACAATCATGCTTCTTAGTTAATCTTTTTTCCTTTCTGGTTTTCCTTCATGTTTCATTGTTTGCTTTTATGTATATCGTATGTCATGTCGTTGAATCGCCGTGGTTTTTGCTATGTTGCACGGATACGGATACGGGGACGGAGACGAGAAACGATAATTTTGAAAATTATAAGGTACGGGGACGATAAGGGTACGACATATAAAATAATTTTAAAATTATAAATATATATAAAAAAATCATAAATAATGTCAAATATCAAGACTCAAACAACAATATTAAATTTATAGCAGGAAAATCCATAAACAAACAACAATATTAAAATGTCAAATTTCAAGATTCAAACCATAATATTAACTCTAGAATAATAAAATCCATAATAAAATCATAATATTAAAGTGTCAAATCTTAAGACTCAAACCATAATATTAAGTCTAGAAAAATATTAAACTCAAATCAAACATTGTTAACATCTTCTGAGATTAACTGACTCTCTAAATCCGACTCATCAAGCGAGAGTTCGGCAAACTCTAAATACCCAACATCTCCCAATGAATCAAAAGCATCTCCACCAACATCCCACATCTTGGTTTTCTCATCCTCATATTGACAAGAACTCCTTGATAAAAGACGAAGATTGTAGTGGATGTAAACTAAATCTTCGGTGTGACTCGGATTTAACTTATTCCTCCTAAGTAAGTGAATAAAAGAATAAGTGCTCCAATTTCTTTCACAACAAGAGGATGACGTAGGTTGTCCAAGCACTTTGAAAGCCAAAGATTGAAGCAATGGAATTTCAGCACCAAAGTTAGCCCACCAACTTTTCGGATCCGAAGAATACCTCTTTGTAAGAGACATCAAATCTTCAAAAGGCTCGAGCTTAAGTGAGAAACAAGCAAATTCATCCAAGACTTTGTCATAATCATCATCATTTGGAAATAACCTACGAAAACATTTCACTCTATCTCGAGATATTTCACCATCTCTATGAGGAGCAACTCTACAAGGATCCTCGCTTAGCCAACCATCACTATAAAACCTTCAACATATTAAAAAGAAAATTATACATAGCATCAAAGAACTAGGAGATGAAAATATAAAATTCAAAACGAACAAAGTTATATATGTACCTTGGATTTAGTGAATGAGCTAGGCAATGAAGAGAAGTATAACTCTTTGTCCAACGAGCTATAAGAATCCCATAAACAACATGATAAAAAGGACTGAAGTCTGAAAGAGGACATTTTTCCTTCTTGTAAATTTCACACTTCACTTTCTCAATCATGGAATCCCACAACTCATATACCAAATGAAGACATGGCTTATCGGTGTCACATACTCTAAGCATGTCATAGATGGGCTTTGTAAAATCAAGGATGTAAGCTATTTTATCCCACCAATCATCACTCACAAGCTTTTCTTTCACAAAGTTTGCTCTCACCATGTCATCCTCCCTATAAGAATTCCATTCGTCGCTAATGACCATTGCTTGAAGTCCTTGTTTGATGAGCTTAAACCTCTTAAGCATCACAATGATCGAAGCAAAACGAGTATCGTCAACTGAAAGTAACCTAAGAGGACTAAATCTTTGAAAGATTACCAATCTCATATTGTGGTTCATGATAAAATTCTTGATTTGTACGGCATCCCCATGAATATCGGTAATCCAATGGCACAAGTCATATGTTTCCTCATTTCCCTTGACATTTTTTGCTGAACAAATATACTTCAAGGCAAGATTAAGTGTATGGATAACACACGGTGTCCAATAAATATGAGGATACATGCTCTCAATAATCTCTCCTGCCCCCTTGCAATTAGCTGCATTGTCAGTAATAATCTGCACCACATTTTGATGACCAACCTCATCAATCACTTCTTTCATCAAATTAGCAATGAAAAACTTATCTTTGACTTCACCAAAACAATTCACAGCTTTAAGAAACATAGGCTCATTTCCAGAAGTAGCCATGAAATTAATGAGAGGCTTTCTTGTTGGATCACTCCAACCATCACACACAATAGTTAATCCTTTTTCTTTCCATGTTGCTTTAATCGGTTGCAAGAGCTTCTCAACATTATTTTTTTCTTCTTGGAGCAATGTGGTTCGCAATTTATTATAACCAGGGGGAACATAACCAGTAATATTGTGAGTTGCAGCAAAAGTGAAAGCCCTATGATAATGAGGATTTCTAGCAAGATTAAAGGGCAAATCACCGGTGTAGAACATTCTTGCAATTTCTTCATCTAATTGGGCTCTCGTATTCATGTCGAATGCTCTAGCAAGAGGTGACAAGCTAGGTTTTCTCTTCTTAGAAGAAGAATCAATCTTAATTCCAGCTGAAGATTGAGAGGGCAAAGAAACTTCTCGAGTTACTTCTTGTTTCTTTCTATTCTCCCACTCTTCTACCAACCTTACCATTTCAAGTTTTTGATTTCTAGTTACCTTTTTGCAAATTGCAACTCCTTCACCTGAAATTTGAAGCAAATGTGCCTTTGTCCTAGTATAGCTTCCATTACGAGTTTCGCCGCAAATGTTGCAACGAAAATTCCAAGTTCCTCCAACAGTCCCTCGCTTTTCTATCTTTGTCATATAATTCCACAATGAAGATAAATTCTCATTTTGGGACATTGAAATTGACTCGCTCCCACTATTACTTCCAGTCCCACTACCACTTTAAGATGCCATATTTATACTAAATTAACCTGTTTACATAAAAAAATTAAATGAGTTTAAATATCATGCATCAATTGAATGTAATTGAAAACAAAGCATGTAAATATAAAAGGCGAAAAGATATGTGAATATAAGTTACATATAAACTACTATTAAATAACTCATGTAAAATTTATTTTATATAATTTATTTATTAAATAATAATATGTCTAATATTATGGGACGTTTTTCCCATAAACTACATTTTCCATTCAAATTTAAAACATTCCTGATAATGTCTAATATGCTCTAAGTACATTATAAAATGATAACCATGTAATAACCATGTAATAAGCATCATCAATCGAGTTTAACTCTCTTTAATAACCGTGCTCTAAGTACATTATTTGGCAGAAAATGGAAATAATGATATAGTTAAACTCTCTTAATAACCACGTAATAAACAACCATCAATCTGTTTTGCTTCGAATTGAAAAAAGATCTCCAAAAATAGATTTCGTTATATCCTATTTCGAATATGAAATTTGTTATACTCTGTTTTTTGTTCTTGATAAATCAAAACTGCTACTACTAAAAAAATGAAAACCAACATAGAAAGCAACTAATGTGTATTGAGTAATCATGTAACCTTGAAGTTATACAAGACATTGCATCAAAAGTTACAAAAAATAGAATCTGGATAGTTCCAATACATACACACGTATTTATAATTATATATATGCTCCATCGTTCAGTTGTTTAATACGCAATAGTGTGGTGAGCAACCCTTTTTCAGGCTCGTGAGTCGTAAATATTTATAAATTCTATCCGTAGCTTTATACCTTCAGAACACGCATGTTGTTAAAGTGAAAACGAAACAGAGAATATTTCTAAGTTCTAAATCTCCTTGAAACTAAAATATTAAAAAAGGAAAAGTTATGAATTCCCTTTTTAAGTTTTCGTAGCGACCATTTGAGGGTGAGGATTGTTTATGGAGAACAATAACATAATGCAACAAAATTGGATTCCAAATTGCCTTATCACTAATAGCTCATGATGCAACACTTGAGAACCCAACTGAAGTCTGAAGATATTGGCACAAAAAAGATACAGCTAGATCTTGAAATACTTACATCAAAAGAGCAACAGAAAAATCTGACTTGTTCAAGTTTATCCCAGCAGTGTACTTGATTGGTAAAAGAAGCAAAAGCAGTTGCTGTCGATTGCTGTTGAAAAGCTCAAGAAGCAGAAGCAATTGATGCCGAAAGCTCCAATACTAGGTTTTGTATTATTGCAGAAAGCTTATGCTTTTCTTGTTTTTTTTTATTGTAAAATGACGAAAATATCCTGGGGACGCATGTAAAAGTCACATGTCGTCCCCGAAACGTCCCCAAGACTCGGTGAAACGTCTCCGGTGTCGTTCAGCCGTACCCTGCCACCGTGGCACGTCTCCGGTACGTACCCCAGCCGTCCCTGTGTCGTCGGAGACGTATCAGGTACAAGAAACGGCACAAGTTTCCGGCCCCCTGCTTCCTTGGGTTTTTGAGTTCCATTTTCTTGAATGCCTCGGGAGAATTCTGTATAATCAGCTTGTTTGTCCCATTTATTATCATTTACTCAATCAAGGCTCTCATTTGTAGGCAGAAGAAGCAACAAATCCTCTTTCTTCCCGTGGACCCCACCAGCACCACAACCATGATTGTAGACGTGAAAGAATCGACAATGGTACAGCCGGCGGGGGAGACCCCACGGAGGAGCCTGTGGAACGCCAACGTGGACTTGGTGGTCCCCAGGTTCCACACCCCCAGCGTTTACTTCTACAGTCCGACGGGAGCGGCCAATTTCTTTGACCCGCAGGTGATGAAGGAGGCACTGAGCAAGGCACTGGTGCCGTTTTACCCCATGGCGGGGCGGCTGAAGAGGGACGATGATGGAAGGATCGAGATCGATTGCAATGCCGAAGGGGTGCTCTTTGTCGAGGCTGAAACTACTTCCGTGATCGATGACTTCGGTGATTTTGCACCCACCTTGGAGCTCAGGCAACTCATTCCAACCGTTGATTATTCCGGTGGCATCTCCACTTATCCACTCTTGGTTTTGCAGGTAATGTGTTTTCACCTCATACATCTTTTTTTTATTAGTACCGTTGATTATATTTGACTTGTTTGTTGGCTGCCCTGCCTAAGCATCCCAACTTTTTGTGGGCTAGCATGACTTGGTGCGTATGTGAATGCTGTAGGAGCTAACCTTTGGTCGGGTCAGTTGCGAGTTGTGTCATTATCGGTTGAGCTTTGTTGGTTTGCCTACCACCAACCAATTCGCTAGTGGAAACCTAATATATGTCTAATCTAATAGTATATTTCTAGGCCTTTGATCTTGAGTGAAATTCGGCTAATCATCATTTTAAGAAATGAAATTCATTTATTTGTTGAACAACTTTGGGAGCAATTATTATAGATTTCAGTCAATACAACTGGAGTTATTTTAAACATGGTTTTGGTTTTTGATTCTGTTCAGGTCACATATTTCAAATGTGGTGGTGCATCACTTGGTGTTGGAATGCAACATCATGCAGCAGATGGATTTTCAGGTCTCCACTTTATCAATACATGGTCTGATATGGCTCGTGGTCTTGACCTCACGATTCCACCGTTCATCGACCGGACCCTTCTCCGTGCCCGGGATCCTCCACAACCCGCATTCCACCACATTGAATATCAACCTCCTCCTGCATTGAACAGTCCACCCCAGTCTACAGGTCCTGAAAGCACATCAGTCTCCATTTTCAGATTGACCCGGGAACAACTCAATGTACTCAAAGCCAAGAGCAAGGAAGATGGTAACAATGTTAACTATAGTTCATACGAGATGTTGTCAGGTCACATGTGGAGATCGGTCTGCAAGGCTCGTGGACTTACCGATGATCAAGGGACCAAATTGTACATCGCCACTGATGGAAGGTCTAGGTTGCGCCCCCCACTTCCACCTTGTTACTTTGGAAATGTGATCTTCACTGCTACCCCAATCGCCGTGGCAGGCGATCTAATGTCAAAGCCAGCATGGTTTGCTGCAAGCCGTATTCACGATGCGTTGGCTCGGATGGACGATGAATATCTAAGATCAGCCCTTGATTACCTAGAGATTCAGCCAGATTTATCCGCCCTTGTTCGAGGAGCACATACTTTCAAGTGTCCAAACCTTGGGATTACTAGCTGGGTTAGGCTACCAATCCATGATGCAGATTTCGGCTGGGGACGGCCGATATTTATGGGTCCCGGAGGTATTCCGTACGAGGGGTTATCTTTCGTATTACCAAGCCCCAACAATGATGGGAGCTTATCAGTTGCCATCTCCTTGCAAACCGAACACATGAAAGTGTTTGAGAAGCTGTTTTATGACTTTTAAAGGGGGGGGGGGGAACACAACAAATAGAAACAATATATCCCGAACCTGGTTTATATCAGATCTGCTAAACGTTTCGTTTACCGATTCTTTCATACATGTTCAAGCTTTACTAGTTACAAGCCACACGCTTATGCATAGGGAAAAGGGAACTTTGGACATAAGTTGCATTACTAATTTCGGTTCAATATCGATGTCGGCATGAAATGATTATAATTTGAGTGTCTTCGTTTAGATTACACAAACTGCAGTTGTTTCTGCTTCACAATCTTGAAACAAACTCTGAAGTTCTAATTCCTCTGTTTTTTGGGGGGTTATTTTCAAAGTCCTCTTTTAAGTGACTTGTCCACAAAACCATCTTCTCAATTCTGAATGTTTGTATAAATAAACAATTGCCGATAGAGATTTCTTACTTCATACTCAGTTATATAAATAACAAAATCTTTATTTAAACGATAAATAAATGGGTAGAAAGTAGGAACAAGCTGCAACTAAAAAAAGAAAGAAAGACTTCAAATCAAGACACTGATCCTCAACTTCAGCAGGCGCTAAATTGGATCGTCGTTGGTCTTGTTTCTTTTGCTTATGGGGATGTAGGTGATCGTCAGAAGATGGTGAGAAATAAAGCTGGAGATGATAGGATAAGGGTGAAGATTGCATGTAACGCAACAGTGAACAGAAAGCAAGGTGGGTTGAGGAGCGGTGGAGCTGCGTTTTTCTTGTTGGGATGGTGGGGAACATTTGCACCACCGTATGCACCCTTTCCACCCTTTGATTTCTCAGACTGAAAAATTTTGTAATGTTGCTTGTAGTATTCGTCCTTTTCGTCCACTTTTGCCGAGCTGTTGAGACCTGCATGCTTCAACACTGAAATTCCGACTGGTTTCAGGGAAGACCATTTCAACACACAACAAATGAAAACAATGGAATTCTTATTTTTACCATGGGTGTCGTCGTGTCCTTGAACAACGGATCCTGAGAGGTTGAAGTCTGGAGGTTTTAGTAAAGGAAAACCTTCAAGCTTCCTGCTTGAAAGGGCAGTTGCACATGACAAAACTATGAACCATGCAAAAAACTTCAACATCATTCCTTTCAACTGATAGTTTTGAAAGAAGAAAAAATCGTTTTTCTTCTTCTCCTCCTATAACTGAAGAGAAGAAGGCAACTTGGCGAAGATGTGGAAGAGCAGCGTCGTATTTAACTATTTATGCAGGAATTATTGAAATATGAAGAGAATGGCAGTGAAGGAGCATCTTCTGAATGCGGCATCAAAAAGCAAATGCCAAACCAATTTTATTTCTTCAGTTTTCACGTGGAGAATTTTTAAGTCATTTCAAGTATTTTTAAGTTATTTTATCAATTTTATTCTATTGAAGTTTCAAGTAATTCACGTCCAATTCGTGGCAGCCAGAATTTTTTTTTTCTAGGACCTAACTTGATTTACATTTTTTTACGAATTAAAATATAATTTTATTATTATATTTAAGTTCTAATTTTATAATTTAAAAAATCATAACTTTAATTATCATAGTTGATGAAGAATAAGTGCGACAATAGTAATGGTCTTGGACGAAGCTTTTCAATAATTATTTGTGGATGTCAAAAATATTAAATAATAAAGGTTTGAAAAATATTTTACCAAATTAAAATCGATAAAGTAAATTATGCAAAAATTTCTTTTATTTTCCTGCTTTACAAAACAATATATTTTCTCTAAATAAACATCAGAAAACAAAAAAAAGCATTTTTTTTCAGATTTATATGATATCAACCAACATTCGGGTTCATTTGGTTTTAATTTTTTTTAATTTTTTTTAGAAAATAGTTTTGAGTTTGAGTTTTTTTTATAGAAACAACTAATTTTATTTAAAATAATAAAAATCGCAATTTACAATCACAGTCGTAAATTAAGCACATAATTAGAAAATTTTTCTATAATCATTGAAACAAAACTAGTAACTTAAGATCACATTATGATCATACAATGAAAGATTAAATCTAACTAAGAAACTTGAACAAATATATATACAAACAAATTTGATTGCATCGGCAAACGAACCACCAAAGGGGATCAAGCTATTGAAAGACCACCGACAAACCGCAAATCAGACTCGAGCAATATGAAAAGTTATCCACGAACACAAATCAGGTATTCAAATTCAATCCGAATGTCTAAAGCAGAGAAGATCAACAAAATATCAAATAAGTGTCATATTGACCAGTCTTGACGATATTAAATCAACCTTTAGAAAAAAAATATAAATAAAAAATGGCCAAAGAACCTAGAAAAATGCCAAAAAAAATATAACAAAACGTGTCATAAAGGTAGATGAAAACGTGCAACACAGACAAACTTATTGAAAATAAAAAATCAAAAATCAAAAGAAAGTAAAGATACGATATAAAACAGAAAAAGACAATAAAGAATACAGGCAGTCGGTAACCAACATTAAAGTTAATGCCGTCGCTGATTAATAAAGACGAAAAAAAAGATGAACGACACACCAATAAGAGAAAACTATTTTTTTTAAAATATACTTTTCTGATTTTGAATTTTTAAAAAATTATAAAACATATTTGGTTAATATTGTTGTTGTAGTATATGATAGATAAGGATGTGACAAACGTGTTTAATTATTATTTTTTGACTAAGTTCAAGGACCTAATTAATTATTTTAAAAAGTTTAAAGATTTAATTTTTTTTAAATTAAGAAAACATTTAAATTTAACATATAAAATATAAATCATTATTAATATATTTAATACATTAAATATAAAAATAATACAAAATTAAATATTAAAAAATTAGTTTAAAGACCAAACTGAGTGTAAAACAAATTCAGGGATTATATTATTATCTTTTTGCAAAAATTGGAGGGTTTTATGTACCATTAAGTCAAAAATATTGTTAAAAGGATTTGAATATGTGTAAATTAAGTAAAAAAATCTAAATCCGGCATTTTTTGTATTTTTCACATTTCTAAAATAAATTTAATGAAAATAACGAAAACATAATTTTTAATGTTTTTAAACTTCCATTTATTTTTATTTTGATTTTCTAAATTTAGAATTAAACATGTAAAACCAAACCAGGCCTTCTCCTGGTCCTATCTCCCCTAATTCATATCACTGCTTCGTGAAATATGGTCAATAAACATTCAATAAGTTACTGTTTCAGAGTTTAATATAAAAATATGATTGATGCAAGAATAGAATAATTGGGTTCATTTTCCTAAAAGCATTAAAATGTGGTCGGTCCACTATGGTAAAGTAGCTTAGGGGTGTTGAGCAAAAGTAGCTATGGAATAAGATGTCAATTCTTTCTCCATCATCCCCCAATGGCAAACGGGCGGGTCGAGTATAAATACCCCTCTCTCAGTTCATATCCACATAATATTTTTAAATTTGCCATCTGTCCACCATTCATGATGGATAAATTTTTTTAAATTCACACTCGTACACGCGGATATATTCTCAAATCTATCTCCACACCCATTATCAACTGGAGACTACACAGTTAGACCTACCTGACATCAACCTTAAGTTATACATAAGCAACAAACATAAAACAAACACGTCCACTAATAAACATAATAAAATAAACTAAGGATTATCTGAGTTAAGTATTAACATAGATCTTAAAATATATAAAATACCATAATAAAAGACATAATTAAAACCTATAAATATAAATGACAAACACATAATATTTTTATTCTTTGACACACATAAATAACAAACCCTAAAATATATTTAAATTTATAATAATTCAAAATTTAATGATAAACCCTAAAATATACTTAAAATATACTTAAATGACAAACACATATTTTTTTAAAAATTTTATAAACTTACTCTTCTTAAAATTTTACAAATTTATTCCATCATGAAATTTTATGTTTATATGTAATCTAAAAAACAAAAAGTAGACGGACATAAATAATTAGAAATTATCATCTCCACTTTACCAGAAACTGCATCGTCATCGTATAATAATTATGGGATATAAATTTAGTCTTTAATGATGTTTTTAGCAATAATTCCTAAATTATCAGATTATTAGAAATTTTATTTTTAAATTATATATCCATTCTTAAATTAATTATTTAAATATTTTTTAATTTTAAGTAATACTTAAATATCTTTGTTTTTCATCCTAAAAGTGTAGGACATCCAATAAAAAAGATTTTATTGATTGTTATTGTTTATTAAAAAGTTATTTTTAGGATGAATTATGCGAATAGTTTACTTTGTTTATTTAGTCATAAATTTAAAAATTAAAGGTATATAGTCCTTAACAATGTTGATTCGTTCGATTTAACCTCTAACATTTTTGATATATTTGATTTTAGTCCATCAACCATTAATTCTCATTTGATTTTAATATCTCAACTATGTCACACATTTATTAAGAGTTGACGGTAAAAGAACTTAAACCAGACAAATCAATGATATTAAGATTATTTATCTTTAATTTTTAAATTAATGATCAAATTAGAACATGCCCTAAACAAAAAAGAACAAACTATATGTAGGGATGACAAAAAAATCCGAACTCAAAGGGAAAAATCGAAAATCGAATTAAATGGGGACGGGAAAAAACCGTTTATGTTAAACGGAGACGGGGACGTGGAAAAACCGTTTATGCTAAACGGGGACGGGGAATCCCCGCCCCGATACCCGACCCGATAAATATTAAAAATAATTATTATATATATATATATACATATAATATTAATAAATTTAATTTAAATTAAAAAATATATATAATATTTATATATTTAATTTAAATATATATATACCCGTCCCGATACCCGTTTAAATAACCGTTTATGCTAAACTGGAATATCCGTTTCCTCGTGATTTTTCCCTATTACCCGATGGGGATTTCCGTTTAAATCCCCGCGATTTTTTAAACGGAGAAGGGTTTTTTAAACAGGAAGAGGACGGGAGACCAATGCCCGGCTCGAACCCGACTTGTTACCATCTCTAACTATATGCAAAATATATCTGTCCGTACATAACCATCATCACAAGATTTTGTTTATTAGTTTCTTAACCAAAGTCGGATCAAAAGTTAAAAACAGATTAACAGTGAAGCAATTAGAAAACCCTCCCGGCGCCGGCTCCAAGTGTCGAACTTTTTTTTCTTCTTTCCAATTAGAGCTTTCAAAAACAAAATCTGACAGGTAAATGAAGAAGGAGAAGAGTTTCCAATCAACAATATCATATTTCCAAGTATTTTCGATCCATGTTTGCTGCGGACTAGCCTTGGCCGTTGGATTTTGGGTGGCCCACAATGTCTATTTCATCAATCTCATCTCTGATACCTCCGCCACTCTTCGTTTGATCTGGGTACCCCCTCAAATTTCTTTACTTTCTACATTGTCTCCAATTTCCTTTTGTTTTTAATGATTTGTTTTTCTTGTTAGGCTATTGAATTCCCGGTTGTTATCCTTCTTTTCAGTTGTTGTACACAGAAACCGGAGAAGTGCTCGGTTAGCCAACAATTTCAATTCAACTTTTGTTACTATTTCTTTTTTTAAGTGTTTTACGAAACTCTTCTATTTTGGGCTTTTACAGTATTTGAAAGCTATTTGCCGAGGTCTGCTGGGACTTCCTGTTGGTTAGTGTTAAGCTGATAATGCCGCTTGAATATTATATTTTCAGCAATATATTTGTATAATTTGTATGTCTTTTGATTTCTAGGAGCTCTTTTAAATGCGCTTGGAGCGCTAGCTTTGGGGGCACCAGTCGGATTGCAGTAAGTGATCCTTATTCCTTAGCATTACTACGATTGTGACAATATTATCCAAGGCAGCCAATTGGCCTTGCTTTTCAGTTTTCATTATGGTTTAGAAGCAAGTTATTGCAAAATCATGCATTAACTTGTTCCTCTATTGTTGTATGCAGATACTTTGAAAGGACAGTTAGTTGGTCTCTTCTGATGTCTTCATTGACTGTAAGTTTCCAAGTTTTAATTCCATTGTCTGTTTATATTACATTTTATGACATCATGTAGGAAATTTTACCATTATCATACATCTTTGAATGCTTAAAATTCAACTCTTCTACGTGTTGGGAATGCATAATCGTGTTGCAATATGTTTCCTTTTACAAATTTATTTCAATTAATTTTTTTTATAAAATCCTAAAGGTATATCATGGTTCTGATGCTCTCGCCTTTTTTCCCCTTATTTGCTATCCTCAGTATTGATGTGTTTCTGTTATGACATAATTATTTGGATTTCTAGTTGTATTTTGTTCTTCAAAATTACCAGCAATGTGAACCTTTACTCATCATACACGCACTAAGTTATGTTTTGGTGCGTTTTTTACAGTTTGTACCTACAGCTTGCGTTTATGGTTCATGTTGGACAGATTGGCATCGCATATTTGCATGTACAAAGTAAGTGTTTCTTTTAGATGCTGACTTGCATGTACACCTTGTGTTTCTTTTGCCTACAGCTTGTGTAAATGCTGGCTCCGCCTTTTCCCATGGGCATTATGTGTCTTTTTTTATGTGTTTGTTCATTTTTCAAGGTAGATTAGACTTGCTATTGGTAACAACTTTTGTATTTACCATCTTATTACTTTATTAGTTTGGATACCAACTCAGAGATGAAACATTTGGCTTCTCTCTTTGAAACATGTATAACTTTTTCAACAGGCAGCTGCTTTCCTCTATAGTTTTAGCTTCCATTTGGTGTATTTTGTGTGTGGAGAAAAAAAGGGGGTTAGAACTTTATTGCAATTTGTTAGCTCACAGGAAGAAATGAGAGTAAAGTTACACATCATGCCATTTTTAGTAGAAAAGCTTTAGGGTTCATATAGTTAGTTTTCAATATAAACTGGAGTATTAGATGAACATTTCAATAGAAAATCTGATAATCCATATAAAGAGGCTGATGTCTTATCCATCTAGGAGTTGTTTTTACCTGGATAATGTTTGTTTGAAATGCAGTGTTTTTGCTAGGGTTTTAGTATCTGCTGATATAGATGTTTGGTATCATTCTCTTAGGCCGAATGGACCTTTGGATTTCATGCTTTGTCTACCAGCACATGGAGCTGTCATTGGAGCTTGGTTTGGTGCTTGGCCTATGCCACTCGATTGGGAACGCCCTTGGCAGGTAGCATCTCCTCCTCTTGATTCATTGTGACTTAGAATTCTGGTTTTCACATTTAATTTAAGTTCTTGTCTTTCTCATTGAGATTTGTGTTCATTCCTGTGCTCAAATTTGGATACTTGTTTTTTACACTATTACTTTTCCCCTACTATGAACCCTTCCCTTTTATGGTTGAATTCTGCCATTAAATTCTTGGTGGCATGCCTGACCCTATTTTCTCTTTTAACAGTCTAACATTAGGGTAATCAAAGTATGCCTTTCCGTTCATGTTAATCTTGCTTATTTGAGTGGCATTTTTATCAATGAGTGATTTATCGAAGTGGCTAATGTGATTTTTCTTTGTTCACTTTAGCTATGAGATACATTCAGGCATATCCTTTCATGGTTGATGTTATTCTTGGTTTTTTATTGTGTATGGTTTATTTCATCTCCTTTGGATGAGGTGGAAGATCTTTGTCTTGAGGAGTTCAAGATGTGTGATTTCATAGATGAGTTGAAGAGTATCTTATACTTCAACTGTATCTTAGTATATATGTCAATCATTAGTCTGATGTGGACCAAATGACATTGACATTACACTTAGGGACTTTAGATGGAACTGCATTACTCTGTATAGCCATGTGACATGCTCCCATGAAGAGAAAGGATTGTTGTCTCCGTACATTCTGCACCCAATACATTTAAAGTAGTATTCAGAAACTTTCAGTCTGCGCAGCTTTGCTGATTCATGTTGCCTTGTTAATGTATGACGGACATTTTAGAAGCCTGAATTTCTGAGTTGAACCGTTATTTTCCTTTTTTCTCTTAGTCGGGTATGTAAGATACCGTTCATATTTGTGGTGTAGGGTATCCTATCCCTACATCATTATTGGGCAAGAAGGTTCATTGGGATTAGACTTATTTGTGTTGGATATTGGCTGACGCATTCAATTACCCTTCACTTGGTAGGATTGGCCAATCTGTGTGAGTTATGGAGCCATGGCCGGTTATATGGCTGGGATGGTGGGATCCCTTGGTCTTGCACTAATGCGTGCTGCAGGAGGAAAGCAACTGAAAGCAGAGTAGATGGTTCACGCCTCTGATTTTAGTTGGATTGTATTCTGATTAACTAATATGCTACTAATTATTTTGCCACTGTATTTATTCAATCCCCATTTATGAGATCCAACTTTGAACAAAATCTGTAAAAGCTGATAATCTGTGAGCCGCAACAAACCAGTCGTATAAGAAAATCAACTTGTTCATACCATCGCCTATCAACGGTCAAAACAATTACTAGCCGCCTTATCTCATTTATCACTAAATAATTTGATTTGTTTTTTTAATAATTTCATTTATTTGATTCAATTTTCATTATATAAATTATAACTTCAATTTTTAAATTGATATAATGATTTTTTTTATAAAAAAACCAAACTTATTAGTTTTGATTTATTTTTTTTAAAAAAATATTAGCAATATTCTTTATCTATATTTCTCAAGGACTACATAAAACTCGGTATACACTAATTAGGATGCTTAAAAATATATGACCAGTTGATCCATGAACATCAATAACATCATCACTAGATTTCAAATCGAAATTTCTGTATCGAGTAAAATCTTCAATTATGGATATATTGGCAAAGGTTCACAAGAGATTCTGCATTCTTGTGTGAGAAGAGAAAAAGATAGACATAAAAACAGAGATTCTAAATTCTTATCAGGTGGGGAAACTCTGCATTTCAACTAAGCTGTGCAATTACATATTTACATGCCTTGAATAAAGTAGCTTTCAAATCAGAGTAGATAACCAGTGTTTAGGCCAATAGTTATCGTTTTATACTTTTACAACGTTAAATCAAGATTTCACTGATCAACTATTTGCTCCATCGCATACCATAGCACCACTTAACATAATTCAGAATACCTTTCTACAATACTCTGTTACTGTCTACTATATCAACTGGTCTGAAATTTCAGTACTGTAAAGATTTAAGATAATTGAAATTCAATGCCACCAAGCGTTTGGTTCCCTTTTTCCTAAATTTAATTAAATTTACACCTTAAATGGCAGGAACGAATCTACTATTTATGATCAATAATTCAATTGGAATGGTTAAACCAAATGCCAAGCCAGTTTGAGTTGGTAGTATTGAATTAGTCTATAAATCCAAAAATCGTCAGAATATGGCAATTAATAGCTACTAAAATAGTGGGTAGGAAGTAAACCTTGAGTCCAGCTAGGTGAACAAAAAAGGCACTAAGTGAGAATCCTAACAATGCTCCAACAGAAGAGCTCAGCCCACACAAGCTCTGCATATCACAGGCAAGGGAAGGATGGCTTATGGCATGCTGTGTGGCACAGGCATCAATGGCCACATCTGCAATTGCCATACCACCATTTCCTACCACCAGACACAACAAGGCAAATCCAATATGCAAATACTTGTGGAGAGATAGAACTAGCGTGGAGATCACACCAATAAACCATGAAATAATTATAAACAAAAAATTGCACTGATCATATATCAAGGCAGTGAGCTTTCTACCATCCGACTTCTCTGCAATAAATCAAACACAATGGGCTGAGTTATTTACCAGCAAAAATGAAATAAGCGCGTCTCCGGTAACCAAGAATGGGTACAACATCAGTAAGATCCGATATAAAATATTATTTTAATTATTATAAGCATGTTCATAACTGCATGTTAATTATTATAAGCATGAAAAATACAAATTAACATGTTTGTGTATATATATATATATATATCGGAACTACATTGAAAACACACACTACTGTATTATTCAAGAAAATAGATTCCAGATCAAAAAATCACTCTTTTTTTTTACCAATGAAATGATGGAAGAAGAAGAAGAAACGGTGAGAAAGCCACTTTATGAGGATGCAGCGCATAGGCATGTGAGAAGGAATAAGCTGAAGAAGGATTTTGTAGAGATGATGTTAAGACCAATAAGATGGTTGAAAATGATGAGTGAAGGGTTCCGTTGGAGCTTTGTGTTGGGGGTGGTGATAGTTCACGGGATTAGTCAGGGTTTTGGTTCGGGATTGAGTAGAGTGAGCACACAGTATTACATGAAAGATGAGCAGAAGGTACAACCCTGTAAAGCACACATGTTAATTATTATAAGCGTATTTTTATATGGTTTGCAATGCACTCAGATTTGTTTGTATCTTTATTTTATTCGAGTTTTTTGGTAAATTTTTTAATATTTTCCTTCTTTGGTCCTTATGTGATCTAGGTGGCAGGTAGGGAGTGAAAGATATCAAGTGAAAGTTCAAGGTCTCATTACAGTTCAATAGTCGTTGAATGTCATTGTGGGATAAAAGCTCCCATTTGGATTTCAAATAAGCCATGGAGTAAAGAGAAACAAATTTATGGGTGTTGTCAACCGAAAGAGGTAAGTTCTGATTTTGCAAGAAATTGTTTTTTGAATTGTTTTTCAGTTGGTAGAATCGGTGCATTGATGCTTTAATAGCCTAATAATTTAATTTTTTGTATGGTGCAGAACAATGTAATTTTTTCCAGTAGGTAGACAATTAACCATATAATGGATGTATTGATGAAGACTTGAAATTTAAAGTGGAAATGTTGATGACCGAAAATAGGATTTTGAAAGTTGAAAACCAACAGTCGAAGGAAATTGTAAAACGTACAAAGAAGATGACAGATGCTTTATTCTATAAGATAGTATTCTTTATTTATTGGATAATGTACTTCATGGTGAAATTTGGTCTTTAGATGAATGATGGTAAGACAATTGTAGTTGAAGGAAATTGTAGTTGTTGAAGTAAATTTGTTTCTTGTAATGTTGGTTTAGTTGTTGAAGTAAATTTGTTTCATGTAATGTTTCTTGTAGTTGGGAAATTGAAAACCAACCGTTGAAAGAAATTTGTTATTGAAAAATTAAGGGGGTAAGAGAACAAACGAAGAGCCTAAAGAAAAGAAAGAAGCAGTAGCTTGCAGGCAACTTGGCTGGAGAAGTTTATCGGAAAATTGCCGATGAACTGTGCCGTGGCGGTTGGTTCAGAATGAGGCAAGGGATTGACAATTGAGTTTCATGACAGTTGGGTTTGAATTCAAAAGATAAAACGGAAACTTTGGAAATTGAAAAGTAAAAAAGTGAAGAAATGATGAATTGTTCTGAAAGGTAAAATATATATAATATTTTAATAAATATATTTTTAACATAAGAATTTAAAATAAAAAATTAAAATTAATTTCTTACTCACGTAAAAAGAGTACAAAGCTCAAGAAATGGGTGCGTAGAATTTTGATCCTCTTAATATAATACATTGTATTTTGATAACTTTTTTAAAGAAAATGGGTATGCATTTGCTACCTCCTTAGCCACATAAATCCTCCCCCTGGATATTCATAATGTATGTTTTTATAAATGATATTCATAATGTATATTGTTTTTAATATAATTGTATTTTAAACTTAAATATTCTGAATAATTAAAGAGGGGGTTTGGGATTTCGGATTCTGCTCGACAAAATGATGCGTTTCTTTTGAAGTTTGCGTTTAATATTTTAGCCAAAAGAGATCAGTTGTGGGTAAGGTTCTTAAGAGCTAAATATCGGTGTGTTGGCTTGATTCCTGTCGAGATTCAACGCGCTAATTGTTTCGAACTTTGGCCAGGGTTATCGTGTGTTTGGGCAGACGTTCGACAACATATTAGTAGGTGTGTGGGTAATGGTCAATTTGTGGACTTTTGTTTTGATGCATGGCTTGAGGATTGTGGTCCTTTAATCAACCATGTAACGCCAGTTGGCGTGCTCGGTTTGCATCGTTTGACGGTAGCAGACATGGTTGACGGGGAGGGGAATTGGAAGTGGAACCCTATCGAACCGTTTCTCCCTCTCACAATTTTGTTGAATTAGCTGCCAAAAAGGGACCATTGTCATAGCTCGATGAGGACGAGGTGGGTTGGTGTCTTCGTGAGGATCGATGTTTATTTAATCTGTCTATGAGAGTCTTGATGATGAGGTGCTCGGCTCCGGGAGGCCATTTGGACTACGATCAGCAAGTCTCGAGGTCTTCAAAAGGTAAAGATGTTCTTGTGGTTGATCGGTCGTGATCAGGTGATGACGAATTTCGAGCGTGTTAGGAGACATTTTTCATCAGGCAATAGTTATTCTTTATGCAACGCTTCCGTGGAAGATCGAAACCATTTGATGCGGTTATGCTCGTCGATCGTCTCAGTCTGGTCTGCAATGTTTAAGCCTGCAAAATTGGGTGAGTTCCTTGGTATGGACATTCATGACTGGATAACAATGAATCTTGGGGAAGCGAAAGAGTTCATCTCTTAATCGGAGAATTGGGATATTATGTTTAGAACCGTCGTTTGGAATATTTGGTTGCACCGCAATGCGATTACGTTTGATGCACTCGAGGTAGACTCTTTACCCAATTTGGTTAAACGCAGACAACTTGTTGAGCTGATATGTAGGGCGTTAGTGATGGAACAAATTCATCGGGGTTACCAGTTGCGTCAGTGCTAGATCATGAGTGTGGCGTTGCCCTCCGGTAGGCTGGTTGAAAATCAATTCTAATGGGGTTCGACATCGTGAATCCGGGCTTTCATCGTGCGGTGGTGTCCTGAGGAAACATGTGAGTGTGTGGCAAATGGGGTTTGCGAAGTTCATTGGCATCTGTGGAACATTCAAGTTATTGTTGAAGTTGACAACTTGGAGGTCATGACTATGTTACAGCAAGTCAAAATTGGTAATAATAGAAACACAATCCTGAACCATATTGCAGAATTGTTGCGTAGAAATTGGATGGTGCGTTTACAACATGTCCTTCAAAAATCGAACGACTGACGTTATGGTGGAATTGGTAGATAGGAGTTCACATGTGTGCCTTAAGTTTCCGGTTGTTCCTGTGGAGTTAATTGTACTCTTACAAGAAGATTTTTCGGGCTCTATGAACTCTTGACGTTAATGTTTTGGCCTTCATCAAAAAATTGTTTTTGTCCGAGAATAGGTATGCTTACTGGGCCAGATAGACAACCCAACAGGTGCAGGTCCAACATGTTAGGAGGCTTTTTGTGTGGCCATA